TATATAATATTATATAGATATATATTACTCAGCTGCTATTTTCTCAATTAGGCCTTCCCTGACTGCCCAACCTAAAATTGTAACCTGTTTACCTCCTAACATTTGTCCTCCTTTATTTTCTTTCTACTATTTATTACCATTTAATCTAGTGGTTCTTTTTTTTTTTTTTAAATCTAGTGGTTCTTGGTCATTGTTATTCTTGGTCATTGTCCAGCAATCTGATGCACAGCAAGCAACTGCGAAGACCATGGCCTGGATCAGGCACACCTTAGTCTATGAATGACATCATTGCTATTTAGCACTCTGGAGAGGTTCCTGATGAGCATATTTTCCTAATGCAATTCATCTTTTGATTTTATGATTGCTAGTGCCAAGAGTGTTGACTGTGGAGCCGAGCAAGCTGAAATTGTTAACAACCTCAATCTCTTCTCTATGGTGCTTCCAATTGTCAATCCATATTGAAGACCGCAGCCCTTGACCTTGCAGCAAACACTGCTTCTTGATCCAGGTATAGGGTTTGCTTGGGCACAATTAGACAGAAAGAAGAGTAGTCAGAGGGCTGTAAGCAGAATGTGGTATCATGGAAGCCAAAAGAAGCAATGATCAGAAAAGAGCAAAGAATTAGGAAAGGAGTGTGTCAGAGATGTATCCTGTCTCCATACCTTTTCAGTCTGTATGCAGAACAGATCATTCAGGAGGCTGGATTTTACAAGGAATGTGGCATCAGTATTGGAGGAAGGCTCATCAACAACCTGCATTATTCAGATGACACAGTCTTGATTACTGAAACTAAAGAGGACCTGAAGTGTTTGCTGCAAAAGGTCAGCTCCACAATCAACACCCTTGGCACTGTTGTTGTTAAGAGCCGTTGAGTCAAGCACAACTCATAGCGACTCTATGAATGAAAGACTTGAATCCTATTCTATAACTATCAGCATTTTTCCAAGTTCATAGAGTTTCTGGAGGCATGTTGTTTAGGAAGTGGATGCCACTCCTGCTTCCAGGCCAGTCTTAATCTGGGAGCTCAACCAAACACTGTCCACCATAGGTGACCATTATGGCATTTGACACACTAGTGGCACAACATTCAGTATCATAGCAACCCTATGTTACCTCAGTAGAGAGGAGGACAGACAGACCAGTGCTGTACCACTTAGAACCAGGCCTGAGGGCCAACTCTTGGCACTGTTGCTATGTGCCATCGAGTCGCTTGTGACTCATAGCGACCCAATGTACAACAGCCCTAAACTCTGCTCTGTCCTGTGCCAATCGCACTGTCTCTGACACTCCCATCCTGATTATCCCAGTCACTGAATCAATCCAC